AGTAGCCAGCCCTAATAAAGGTTATAAGGCGCCATAATTACACCACCTCTATAATTTTAAAATTTTCTTCCAACTTAATCAAATATCTCGTCCTCCCTAAAAAACAGAGTGATGACTTAGATTTATTTTTAACATAATTTCACGGATCATCCGACCCTTTTATTTTAATCTAACAATATTTCCCGTGTTTCATTCCATTAACCCCCTTTCCAAATTTATCATAAACCTCTGCTCATTATATAAATAATAACATCGAAATTCACAGGATTAACAACATTCTTTTAACAAATAACAATGGCGGGTTTTATTATCAAGAAAACCATTTTCTTGATTTTCTCTCTCCTCTTTTTTACGCTTTCTTTCTCCTCTCCTCTTCTTCCGACGCTTCCTGATGTGTATTTTTCCGACGAGGATTCTTTCTCTGGCGTCGGGATCCCTCTAGGCCAGTGGAGTTTACTTCAGAAAAGCGTCGGAATTTCTGCAATGCACATGCAACTTTTAAACAATGATCAGATTGTGATATTTGATCGTACTGATTTTGGACCGTCTAATCTCTCTCTTCCCGCCGGAAAATGCGTCTCCGACGATTGCACAGCACATTCGTTACTCTACGACGTGGCTTCGAATACATTCCGCCCTCTCACGGTGGTTTCCGACACGTGGTGCTCATCCGGTTCGGTGGACCCCACTGGGAAATTAATCCAAACCGGGGGGTATGCGGAGGGTGAGCGGGTCATCCGCACGTTCACCCCATGCGCACGACCCGCGGGTGTAGTCCCGTGCGACTGGGAGGAGCTCGAAGTCTCTCTCTCCTCCCGAAGATGGTACGCCTCGAATGTCCTCCTATCCGACGGCCGTGTAATCATCGTAGGCGGCCGTGGGTCCCACAACTACGAGTTCTTCCCTAAACCACCTGGTCAACTTGGCGGGAGATTCCCCCTCCAGTTCCTGGTTGACACGTGGGATGGTCGTAACAAGGAGAACAACCTCTACCCTTTCTTGCACCTCCTCCCTAATGGCAACCTCTTCATCTTCGCCAACAACAGGTCTATCGAATTCGATTACGTCACCGGACACGTCATCAGAAAGTTTCCGATTATGCCCTCGTTGGCAAGACGGAATTACCCTTCTACTGGCTCCTCCGTCCTCCTCCCTATCGCCGGAAACTCCACGTCACCCGACATCGAAATCTTGATATGCGGCGGCGCAAGGCCGGAGTCCTATGACTTGGCTAATAACAAGAGTGTCTACGTGGCAGCATCACAGTCCTGCGGGCGTATGGTGATCACTGACAGTAGTCCACACTGGATCATGGAGAAGCTCCCTATGCCACGTGTCATGCCGGATATGATAATGTTACCCACCGGTGACGTACTCATCATCAACGGCGCAGGGAATGGGACCGCCGGTTGGGAAAACGCGGATAACCCTGTTTTAAACCCGGTTTTGTACAGAACCTACGAACCCGACCCGACCCGGAAATTCGTTGTTCTAAACCCGACAAAAATACCCCGCATGTATCACTCCTCTGCAGTGCTAGTATCCGATGGGCGGGTCATCATTGGCGGGTCAAACCCGCTTGCAAATTACAATTTTACCCCTGGAGTAAGATTTCCGACGGAGTTGAGCCTAGAATCATTCTCGCCGCCGTACCTTGACCAGCAATACGCCGTATTACAACCGTCAATATTGGCCGTTGAAACGGAGAGCATGGTAGTAACGTACGGTCAGATGGTGTCAGTGACGTACGTGTTGGGGATGTACAAAAGAGAAGAGGCAGAGGGAAATGGAGGTAGTAGTAGTAAGAGTAGTGTTAAAGTGACGATGGTGTTACCGCCTTTTACGACGCATTCGTTTGGGATGAACCAGAGGTTGTTGGTGTTAGGAGAGGAGAGAGTGGAACAGTTATCGACATATGCGTATAAGGTTACGGCGAGGGTGGCGGAGAATGTGAATGCAGCACCACCAGGGTTTTACTTGTTGTTTGTGGTTCATGCTGGGGTTCCTAGTCGTGGTGTTTGGGTTCAACTTAAACGTCCTTGGTGGTGAACTAGCTTATTCATTAGTGATTGTTTGTTTTGTACTTTTATAAGGGGATGGGCGATTCTTTGGTTGGTTAAATCATTTGTCATTTGTAAAAGTGATTGATTTGGATAAATGAATATTGGTGAATTAGTTTAGCTATACATATGTTTTGATCTTAATTAATTTTAATTGTCTATCAACAAGTCTACATTTAATATAATGAGTCCCTATGTGCTCCTAAGCATACAAGATGAAGTAAAGTTTTCTATAAACCTTACATTGGTTAATGGTTGTTAGCACAAGAATTTAAAAGAAGAAAATAAGAGAGAGAGTTGAAAAGTTATCTGTTGTACGGATTAATAAACAAAAAAAATTTATTTGTTTTTGACGGGTAATGAACTAAGGATAGAAATTAATTGTATGTTAATATGCACTCGTCATTCATCCCCATAAATGGAAAGTTAAGTTAGGGTATAGTATCCTAACTTCTTGTTTATCAAAATCGCCATTTTGCCCATAAAAATTTGATAAATATACGTAATAGATTAACTATACAATAAGGGACTTTCATTTTCATTGAACTTGAAGACATATATAATAATGTAAATGGGTAATGGTGAAAGGTCCAATGCACACTTAAATCTTTAAGATAAGAAATAAATGGAGTATTATTTTATTTTATTTTATTTTTTTAGGATTACAATTAGTAGTTCACCACATATAATAATGATGTTAGGACATACATAAGAGCTAGTTTACCAAAGATGGAGTAATCAATATTAAATATACCCTAGCTAATGTTGGGATAAATTTTGTGCTTCATCTACAAGTCAAATACCTTATATTGTTCTAACCCCTATGGTTACTGATTACACTTTGAAAACATCGCTAACGTTATAACAACAAATAAGTCAAATCACAATATTTGGAGAAGTTAAGCAAGAATTGAATCAACTAAAGAAATGATGAACAGATGAACACTGATTAAATATGTTAATGCCTTCCATTAAATAAATGATAAAGTCAAGATTAGAATTATATTACAAGAGGAAAAGAGTACCTCTATGTTCATACAATTGGAAATGATCAAGTACATTTTAATTAAAACTACATATCGCTTGGCCTGGCTACTAAGCCAAGGAAAAACCAAGAAAGTGCTAAAGAAATGCTTAAAGAAATGAAATGCTTTATGCTTAGATGTTTTTGTTGATGTCCTTCTCTTTGTGAGTTTATGCTATTGATAGGCAAATCTTATAAGAACGTTACCCCGAACACCTCTCCAGTACTACCCCTTAACCGTTCAACGATTTCTTGTTCTTTGGCGCCAATTGGTTCCTTCTTTGAATAGGTTAAAAACAATATCACATGCTTGACCTTACTTCTTTTAACAGTGTGGGATTCAACAATATTGAGTTGTCTCCTTTATGCCTATTGAGTCTAAATTACTATTGGACCCAATAAGTTGGTATTGCCGAACTTACCATTGTGCATAGGTCCCAAGTCAATCTTCCTTTAAGATGGTCGAAGTCAACAAAAGTCAACGGAAATTTTAAATAACTTCCACTTTAATTTCCTTATCAAAATAGTCTTTCATGGTAAATGAAATACAAGTACATTATTGCTTTATTAGTCTGTATGAGTACATTTAGTTAGGGGAGTTTAAAAATTGGTTCAAGCCAATAAAATGAATAAGTTAGTCTAATAATTTGATTTTCAAACCATTAGATATAGGTCTTCGCTATCCGATCTACTCAATCGGATTAAATCTATTTCATGCGTAAAAACCTTTAGAATGATTAGTTTTCTCCTTCAACTTGTTGTAATGATCTTTATGTCATTTTTTACTTTATATTAGGTTTTCACAAAAGGATTGAACAATTAATTTTCATATCATTATAAAAAGTATTTTGTATAAATTATTGTCTAAAATAGTTTCGAACCAATTAGGGTTAGGATTGTTTTTGTTGATTTGGTCAGATCTCAATCTTATCCTAAATACTCTAATCTTCGGGTCTTGAATTTTCAACTTTTCGATCTTTTTGCCGATTTGGTCAGATCTTGATCTTAGCCTAAAAACTCCAATCTTCGAGTCTTGAATTTTCAACTTTTCGGTCTTCAATTTGGTGCTATTTGGTCTAATCTTGCACTAATAAACAACCTTAGCTCTAATCAGATGATGTCAAACCTTATACTAAATCCATTCAATGATTTAATCAGTCAAATGAGCACTTGCTAGTTGCAAAGTTCCTTGAATGTCACTAACCTTTTCCCTAAGAAAATAAAAAATAATACTTTATACTTCGTAATAAAATACATAAATTCGACTGTAAATATATCTAATTATAAATAAGTAAAAATTATAAAAAGTTGATATTTTGAAAATACACGTAAAGGGGATTCAATAAGATTCCACATAACTACGAAGTATGTTTAAACTTAAGGATAATGCTATATGTAGCCTTAAGGGCTATGTATAAGCATTAAATATACTCTTGAAAATTGTATAAAATTAGGAATTTATGACAAAAACACGCGTAAATTAGTGTTTATATTTTTATGATTTCCTAAATTTGTACGATTTTCTAGTGTGTATTTAATGCTTATATGGAGCCTTAAGGGCTTTGTATAATATTTTCCTCAACTTAATTATAAATCATAAAAGCTAATTGAAGCAGTGTATAATTACAAAAGGAAAAATTGATTTTAATAATCCCAATTTTAACCGATTTTCTTTAAATAATCCCAACTTTTGATTATTATATAATAATCCCAACTAATATATAGTTATCTTCTAATAATTAACCGAACTTTTATTTTTGTTTTAAATAATAGTCCCAAAAGAATCAACAAAACAACAAAAATAAAAGTTCGGATTATTTTAAGAAAATACCTATATAAGTTGAGATTATTAAAAAATAATCAAAAGTTGGGATTATTTAAAGAAGATTAGTCAAATAATCAATTTTTCCTTTACAAAATTCCTTAATTCATATCCAACGGCCTATAACCGTTTGATTGAATCCAACGGCACAAGATAGATCGCGCTGCACCATGCGTCCATGCCTTCCACCTTCTCTCTCCTCCGATCAATATTCAATGTAATCGAATCAAGCCCACCAAAACACTGACAAAAAAAATTCAATCAATTTCTTACCAAATTCCCCAATTTAATCGCAATTGAATCCCTAAATCTTCAGAATTCAACGAAGATTAATCGAGGTAAGCTTGAATTCCAAATTAATCTTCAATGTCAACAAAAATGGCGATGATTTCATTTGTTATTGATTTTGATTTGAATAGAATTTGATTGCAGAACAGTGGTGGAAGTAGAACAATGAACTTTTTGCTGCGGGGGCAAAACCCTAGCTCCGTCGCAGCACCACCAGCAGCCGCCGCCGATCAACTTCCGCCGGTATCGCCGTGGCTGAAGAAAACTCCGTCTCAAAGTGTTACGACATTAGAAGGATTAATTGCGGAAAATAAGTCGAATTCAGTGGATCATTCTACTACAAGTAATCGTGATTCGTTTACTGCAGAAAATGTTGAAATGATTTCTTCTGCATCTAGTAAGGATTTTGCTCCTCTTGCTGATAAGCATGTTGATGTTATGGAAGATGAAGGCTGGATCACAATTCCTCATAGTATGTTGATTTCTCTCTCCTCCTTTTAAATTCAGATTTAATTGTTGAATTTGATGATGATTTGTGCATTGGATTTATTTGCTACCGATGATCTTAGTTTGCAATTTTCGTTTTGTATGCACCGTGCTCTTTTATTTTTTTCTCGTTTGCTCAATTCGGGGAGCTCTGAATGAGCTAGTGTGGATGTAGTGGGTGCGTGATACATCCGTATGTATAGTGGACAACTGTACATACGTCCATTTTCTCCTATTGGAGGTTTATACTTTCCGATAACCTTAGGGAAAGCAACTCTTTAGATTTATTTACCTTAATCAATAGATTCTTCTTGATGTTGGAACCTTATATTTTCGCAATTTGCCTCTGCCTATTATTAATCTGTTTATTAGTAGTGAAGATGTCACATTATATCTAATTTGCATACTTTTCAAGTATGTAGATATTTTCGTAGATGTTTTGGGAAATTTTGTTTCCCTATTTCTATTCCCAATGCAGCACAGGTAGCGTGTACCACTAGTGTATGTATACAAGAGTAAATTAGAAACAACAATTTGTTGTCACAAAGAAGTTGTGTAGTTTGGGAATTGAAATCCCTATTGTGCCGAGAGCTAGTTGTGTCACAGGGGAACAGAACTTTACTGTAGGGTGTGGAAAGGTGACATTTATGTTAGTTTTGTTTTGAGATCATTGATAAGTTTTCCCTGTTAACTTCTTCATTGGAAAAGCATTGAATAGGGTTTGTAAAGACCTTTTAATTGTTGGAAACTTATTGACAACTACATATAAGCAGACCATTTTCACATGAGGTCTGTAATTTAGCTTGTTGAAATACAATGCTGAACAATTGCCTGTTAAAGGCCTTTTTGAATCTGTTTGGTGCTCAATGCAACATCCTATCTGTCATGTGCTCAGTTGCTCACACGGATTAGAATTAGTTTAGGTACACTACTTGGTGAGTTATGGGAGTTTATAGCAGGTTCTGAACATTGCATTTGCTTCCAAGCTTTGGTTTGTTTGTACATTTCGTTTATTTTACTGACAACTAGAGCCACATTTTGACTTTCTAATTTCTTGTCAGTCGATCTCTTTGTATCTTTTCATGCTAATGTTAAAGGTCATATCCACCACGAGTTCATTTGTCTTCTTCGCCAAATTCTGATACACCCTTATGCTTTTGCTTTATATTTTGTTGATTTTGCAATATTTTGACATGCTATTACCATGATTAATGGGCTGGATAGTGTATGTATTTTTTTAAACGAGTCAAATAGTCGATTCAGATAGGTTCTATCTGGTTGCTTTATCTCTCTCTCTCTCTCTCTCTTTTTTCCTTTTCCTGGTCTATTTGTAGATTGTAAGTTGTTCCTGATCCACGTTGTTTCTAATACCTAGTATGGATCTGCAGAGAAACTGCCTGATGATTGGGATGGTGCTCCAGATATACAATCATTTCACTCTTTGGACCGTTCTTTTGTTTTCCCTGGTACCATCCTCTTTTGTTTTCTTGATTCGTACTATTCTTATGTGCATTTTTATTGTTTGCACATTCTGTAAGCTGAGTGTGAGCCCATACCTGATGATGCAGGGGAACAGGTACATATATTAGCATGCTTGTCTGCATCCAAACAAGACACTGAAATCATAACCCCGTTCAAAGTTGCTGCTGTGATGAACAAAAATGGTTATGCACAAGGTCCCAAGGACCAAAATGGAAATATTGCAGAACAAGAATCAAATTCTGGAGCTCAGCCAATGGAGCTTGATGATAATGTAGATGCAAAGAATGTAAATAGGCATCAAGTAGATGTATCTGCCAGTGAGTCTTACCTTAGAATGGAGAATCATAGAAGACAAGTGCAAACATTGCTACAGAGATTTAAGGAATCCCATTTTTTTGTGCGAATTGCTGAGGCAGGAGAGCTTCTATGGTCAGACAGAAGCACAATAGAAGAACCTGATACTGTAGATGACACTGATAGTATGGATAACAATAAAACTGCTGGCTCAAGAACCTCTATAAGTGCAGTAATTGATAGTGGAAGGTTTGATGCCCGGGCTTCTGGTGGTGTGGCGAGAAATTCTATTAAGTGTTGTTCACTCGCTAATGGAGATATAGTGGTATGTTTCAAAATATCTTATTGCATCTGCATGTCATTATGATTCTTAACTTCAAAAAGTATTTATCATAAATACTGCTGCATTACTTTATGTAATTTGTATTTCCTATTCTTTGGATATTATAGACGCCACTGTGTGAAGGAGTTTGTGGCTGATGTCGGTTAAATTTATTGTGTGCACAAAATTAGTAAATTTGTTGGTGAAGTATTGCTGATGTAGTATAAATGGATTAAATTTTGACAATATGACTGTAAATAATACCGAGGAAATGAAAAGTTTTTTGGTTTAAAAAAATCTTCTCATATAAGGGCAAATTTCATGACCTTTATATGTTCCAGGTTTTTTTCGTGTTTTTTGTAATAAAATTTTCTGGTAATGAAATTTTTTTGTTTTTAATTTTATTGCATGTGATAATATTATTTTCAATCTTTCAACTATGTTTCTTGTTGATACTAGACGATATTATAGTTTTGTTTTGCTTGCAATTGAGTTTGTATGAGACTAATTGTCTGGACATTTCAGGCTGCAGCAGGATGCTCTATGATAAATGTTAAACTTGAATTTTTCTGCTTGAAATATAGGCAGTCTTCTGCCTCTATTTAGATTTTCGTGCTTTTTCTTTACAGTTTTATGTAGTGTCTTTAGGCTGCTAAAGATGAGACTTATTTTAATCTGTATAATTCTTACGCTTGAGGCAGAATTTTCTTGAATGTTTCCTATATGCGCTGGTAATTTTTGTCTTGGTATGATTACTGTCCTATTCATGCTTCCCTTTGTTTGCTTACATCTTTTCTGTTATGTTTGTATGATTCTACATTGCCTACAGTATAATTTATTCTTCATTTGATCTGAAATTGACATTTTGTTTTCTTATTCTTATCTCACTTATTTTCTCTTATCCCCATTCTTGTTTGGAAGGATGCAGGTTCTTTTACAAGTGAATGTTGGTGTTGATTCTTTGAAAGATCCTACACTAGAGATTCTTCAATTTGAGAAACATAATGATATACCTACGACTTTAGACAGTGATTTACCAGTTAAAGAAGAGCATAATACCTGTGGGGAATTGTTAAAATGGTTGCTTCCTTTGGACAACTCTCAGCTTCCTGTAAATCGACCTTTATCCCCACCTTTGCTTAATTCGTCCCACAAAACGAGTTTTTCTGCTTCGAGTGGTTCACAGCTTTTTTCTTTTAATCACTTTAGAAGCTACTCTATGTCGTCTCTACCACAAAATACTGCACCTTCTGCATCACCATCAGGTTCTACTGCTTCTGCAAAACCAAACGTTGATTTAGAAGATTGGAATCGTTTTGGGTCTCAAAAATCCCTGAAGAGTCCAAAAACTGGATGCCTAGGTCTGCTGTCCTTCCGAGGAGTTCCGTTAGAGCCTGAAAGGTTCTCTGTTTGTTGCGGATTGGAAGGCATATATATACCTGGAAGAAGGTGGAGAAAGCAGCTTGAAATCATTCAACCAGTTGATATCCACTCATTTGCTGCAAACTGCAATACAGATGATCTGCTTTGTGTTCAGATTAAGGTACGTTGTCAATTTTAACAGTCAAGCTTTTGTTTTATGTGTATAATAAATGGGTTCACCCATTATGTTATTACAGGTGGTTTGAAAATTCTGCTTTTGTTTGCAGAATATATGTCCAGTATATGTTCCGGATATTGTTGTATACATAGATGCTATAACTATTATCTTGGAGGAGGCATCAAATGAAGCTGGTCCACCTTTGTCTGTTCCAATTGCATGTATTGAAGCTGGAAATGATCATAGTCTGCCAAATTTGGCCCTGAGGTTCTTATCCTTTGAAGCTTGTTTAATTTTGGTTGTATAGGGAATAGATTTACAGTCTCTTAATTTGCCAGTTTTGTCCTTTTTTCTTGGAGAGGGGTGGGGGATTGAGATATCAAGAAATGTGTTCAAGTGTTGTAGTATGGGACTATGGGTAGAACACTGTCCTTTAATAAGCACTTGTGTGGCTGTTCTCTCTTGTGGAGCTGGTTTATGCGACAACTTTACCCGTTTAAAAATTGCTCTCCTACTTGTGTAAGTGGGCCTTAGAAGTGGACCCATCGTGATGTGCCCCTTCTCACGTCCGGTGTGGTTGTTTAGATTTACATTCATTTGGTTTTTCTTATCTTATCTCTGTCTGCAATAAGGTTATGCTGGAATTTCAAATTCAAAGGACTATTGTTTCTGGCCTTTCTTGCTGTAAAGCCTTTGATGAGGCCACACATACACTCTGGGTAATTGGAAGATGTATATATGTTACCTTAGCCTGGAAATAGCCAAGAGGTTTGTTGGATTTTGGAAAATTTGTGGAAATTTTGTTCGAGTACCCCAAGTTAAATGCACTACCAATTTCTCCCTCCCACAATCTTGCCACTGCCACCACCTACTCTCTCCCTCTCTTCCATCCCACAATTTCCAACTCAGGTACTCTCTCATTACCAGTTCTTCTCTCATCTCCTTCACTAAGTCACCATGGCTTTCCTCCCTACAATTGTAACCCTCTCTTTATCGTGATCTCTCTCTCTCTCTTTTTTTTTTTTTTTTTTTTTTTTTTTTTTTTTTTTTTTGTTTTGTTGTTGTTGTTGTTGTGGTCGATAGTATTTTGGTTTAGTTTAAAATTTTGGCAGATGTAGCTATCTTTATTTCATAAATAACCTTGCTACTATCACTAGTTTGTGAGAAAACATGCATAATTTTATGTATTCCCTCCCTTTCCTAAAGTTCGACACAATTATTATAGACTCTTGTTTTTTTGAAAGTTAGGAAAAAGTGAGTGGATGTAAGAAAAAAGTGAATAGACTCAATAGACTATGAGAGATGGAGTTTAAAATTGGGTGGGTGTAAGAAAAAGGTGGATAAGTAAGAGATTAAGTGAAAGGGGGAAATATTGCAGGGTAAAGGGGATAAGGTTGTAATATGGGGTTGTCAAAATTAGTAAAAGTGAGTTGAACTTTTTGATAGACCCCAAAGCCGAAAGTGAGTCGAACCTTTAGGAATGGAGGTGTTATTTGTGACTTGAAATCTGGTAGGGCTGTTTGAATGCACATATCTCTAAATCTATAAGTGATCTTGAGGCGATTCATGTTGGATGTAATAGCTTGTTTCAAGAGCATATGAACGACTGGTCATATGCCTAATTCCTATTAGAAATGAGATAGTTGTGGCTGTTTTACGAAGAATTGACAAAGCTAGAATTTGCTGTGCTCAACCTGTGGGGCGCATGGTCGGATACTTCAGTTTTTGAGCCTCTGCCTTGGCCTTTTGGAAGGGGCACGGACGTGCTCCTGGTCGAGTGAGGCGTTTTTTAAGTCAGATTTAAGCATGACGTGTTTTATTGAATGTTTCCTAAAACCATGTTTCTTCTATAATGGTTATTTGAGTTATACTTGGGGCGTACTTTAGGGTTTTATTAAGGTTTTCTTATGTTATAAAAGGACACTTTAGGTGATCAATTAGATCACACCCTAGAGAGCCATTAAAATTAGGGCTACTTGTATATTCTTGTTGTTTTTCTCCATTATAGTGAAGAAGCTCTTGAATCCCCAACTATCTAATTTGACCAAACCACAATAATCCTTGTGTCTTTGTTGTTCATTTTCTTTATTGTTTTTTCTCTTTCTTATTTTTCTTTGTCTTGTTCCGCATTAATCAAATGCTACACCACCCTCTTTCCTAACAAGAGCCAGGAGGAGGTTAACTTTTTTTATTAGTCGAAGAAGCTTCTCCTTTTTTTTTCATATTATCACTTTTTACTTTTTTTGGTTGAATGGTAGAATTGATGGAAAATGTTAGATAGAGAGGAAAGACAGGGGTTATAAAGATGAGGGCGATTCATGAGATGGGATTTGGGGATAATTAGTGGATTTAGGGATGTTTAATTAATGAAATTGACGTGTGTCATTCATTGAAGGCATGTGGTGGACATGGGGATATAATGAAACTTTCTTTAGTTCTTTAATTAAGTCAATGATCTTCTCAAAGCTAAAGAATAATAAATCTTTACACTCCTTTGAAATCAGTAATCATTTTCAGAGGTGCATAAATTTTGTGTCCCATAAAATTTGACCTGTAAATCTTTTTCGTTGTCATCAAAGCAGGGGCCACAAGAAGGGCTGATTTAGAATATCTGCACTAGCTGTTTTCTAGCTGTGAACATAAGTTTTTTTTTTCTTCCTTCAATGTAAATATTTTAACAGCATCTCAGCCTTTAATTTGAGACGCTCATATTTTCTTTCCTTACTTTTAACAAGTTACCTCCGGCAAATTTTGACCAGATCCAAAATCAACCCGATAACAAATAGGGTCTTGAACACAAAATTAGGATCCCAAATTCAGAAACAACCCAACCTGAAAAAGTGTGTCAAATCTGACCTGATCCTGCCCAATATTTTAAGTTGAGTAACAAATTTGATTTCAAATATTCCCCCCTGCATTTCGTGTACCAACATTACAGAGGCAAAAAAAAAAGCTATATTGTAATTTTGTGCCTTATTGTTTAATTAATGAAAATTTTTATCACAAAAAAAAAAAAAAAAAAAAAATGTTGCGAATGATTATGTTAGTTTTTGGATGACACCATTTTTTTACTTGTATATTGAAAATTTCAGTAGCTTAGTAATAACAAACTCTTTTAAAAAAAAAAATTATGCATTTGCATTAGGTTATGCAATTTTAAAAAAGATTTTACATTAAAAAGGAATACCAAAATTTTGCCAAAATAGATATTACCTTCTTGAAAGTAGATATTTTTGATATCCTGTATATGGCTATGCCAATTTTATTGTTAGCAAATTTATGTTTGGAAATCCATCTCTTTGCAGGAGAGGTGAAGAACACTCTTTTATTCTCAAGCCAGCAATTTCAGTCTTAAAGAAATCTAAGGTACCTGATGATAAATTTACTAAGTTGCATTCAAAATCTGGAAGCAAAGCAACAAGTATGCGGCTACCTCCTGTAGCTGTTGAAGAAACAAAGAATACATCTACTTCTCACAAGTATGCCATACTGGTATCATGTCGTTGTAACTACTCTGGTAATCCTTGTAACTCTTAAACTTGTCCAATTTGATTACTTTTGTTAATGGTTATTTTAGTTAGTTTGTGTAATTTCTATAGAATCAAGACTATTTTTCAAGAAGCCCACTGATTGGCGACCACGCATCTCACGGGACTTTATGATATCAGTTGCATCTGAAATATCAAATCAAACTCTGGATTTTACTGGAAAAGTCTCTCAGCTGCCGGTTCAGGTCTTTTGTCGACACCAACTATAAATTATCTTTGTTATATTCGAGTAAGAATTGCATTGGCTGATGATTTAAAATATTTCAGGCATTGACCCTTCAGGCATCAAACCTTACATCTGAAAATCTTACGTTGACTATACTTGCTCCAGCATCTGTTGCACCTCCACCTTCAGTACTGTCACTAAATTCTACACCATCATCACCAGCAAGCCCATTTAGGGGAATCGCTACAACTCAAAGATTAAGCGCAGTAACTCGTTCTACAGAGAATAACAAACAAAGTGGTGCACAGTCTTTCTCTTCTGATCAGCAAGGCGTTCCAGTTTCTGATGTCATTCCAACAACTGCTTTGAGCTGTACTCACTTATGGTTGCATAGTCGAGTTCCGTTAGGGTACATACCAAACTGCTTTTATGGTTTTTATCCTGATTTTGATTACCTTATTAAGCTGTAATGTAAGAGTTTGGCTTTGACCTTGGTGTATTGTGGTCTTATCAGATGTGTTCCTTCTCAATCCACTGCCAAGATCAAGCTTGAGCTGCTTCCATTGACTGATGGCATAATTACACTTGATACTTTGCAGATTTATGTTAAGGAGAAAGGTAATCTTTATATTAGTATAATTAAAATTGAAGCCCCCTCTGTGACTTTAAATCTGCTTGCCCACTGTATAATTTCTGCCAGATTGCAAGCTTCTGCTGTGTGGTGCTTTATATTGCAGACCTTCTATCTTTGGTTCATTTGGAATTCTTTGTAACTTTAACTTTGTGTAATTTCTCAATGTTGCATGAATTTTCAAGAGAGACTTGATCCTGTAATTATGGTGCTGCATTTATATGACTGGGCCTCTCTCTCCCTTTCTTTCAAACACACAAATGCCTGCATTTTTTTCTCTTGGGGACTGAGAGTTTAGGTTTTAAGTTTTGCATTGCTAATTTTTAACTTGGATGAGCACCATGGGACCAACTGACATACTTCCCCAGCTCTTTTTCAATTGTAACATATATTTTATTTGACCATTTTTGGTGCTAATTTGTTTAATACAAAGGGAAAAAAATATACTTCTTCATATGTTCTTTTTAATTTTACTTACTTTCCATTCTAGGTCGTTCTTTTATGTTCAACTGATTTTGCTTCATTCTATTATAGCATACCCCTGTAACCATGTTACTCCTTCAATCCTCACAATAATTACACCTTTCCATACTCTCTCTTTCTTCACCTTTTTAAATACAAACCCACTTTTTAACATTTTCTTTCTTACTTTTTCTTACTCCCACTCATATTCTTCTACAAATTCTTAAATCGCTAATCTATAGTAAGTTAGTAGAACATAAAAGAACAGGGGTAGTAGTTAAATAGGATCTTGTTGTATCCATCTTGATATACACTAATAAAACACCAAAATGATGACCTCCAATTTAGTTTTGCTAGTTCCATATGGTTGAAATCTTTCTTTCAATCCCATGGTGACCTTGTGTTTTTATTTAACATTAATCATGACCTTAAAAAGTTTATTCTGTCAAGATTCCGTTAAATAATTTTTTCGTTTGAAAATTCGAGATTGTGACTTGCAAACTTTTAGATAGCTAAATTCTTTTTTAAAAAGAAATCATCTCGATCCTCCATGGATTACCAACCCCTTCTTCATCTATGCCATGCCAGTCACCCAGCCCACCTTCCTTATAAAAACCCCTTCCTCTACCCTCTTCAAATCTTCTCCTCCTCCATCACCTCCACCTCCCTTCACTATCTATCTCTCTTTACCATCATCCTTGAACCTCCTTAGGATTTCCTTCCTATTACTTGCACCCCACCAATTTCGTCTTCTTCTTTCAACCCTCTTCCTCTGCTACTCTTGATGAAACAATCACACACATCAATAGCAAGAATTGACAGGTTTTGTGGTTTCAAGGTATGTGGAAGTTGTGTTGGCGGGATGGATAGTGATGTTTGGGTTGGTAGAGAGGAAGGATACAAGAAATGATTTTTATTAGATTTTACATGGTAAGGTCATGGATACATATTAATCAAAATTGTAAGGTCACCTCAAAAATTCGGAAAATAAATTTTCACCATGTGGAATTTGCAAAATTGGAGGTCACCTTCTAAAATTTTCCATTTTTTTTTATTGGGACCTTTTATGTTTTCAGATGCATGTGACTAAGACTCTTGTGAGACTATGAGTGTCAAAATTTGCTAATTGTGAAGGTTTCCTTGATTTGAACCCAAATAATGTGTTACACTTTGTTTGGATTGAAGGAAATGGAGGTATAGGAAAGGAAGGGAAATGTAGGGATGGATAATCTTTTATTTGGATAACAAATGAGGAAAGAAGGGAATTGGAGGGGAGAGAAATAGAGGGATTAAATTGTAAGAAATTAATCTTTTCAATAATGGAGAGATTTGGAAGGAAAACTCATCATTTTACCCTCCTCTTCCCTTCACACCCATTCCCCTTCTTTTCCTTCCCCTTGCTCTATCCAAATACATTGTTAGTGTGTATACTCACATTACATTGTTGAAATTCCTGCACTATTTTGGTGAAATGAAGACTCCGAGTAATATAGTTTCATATATTTCTGCAAACAAGAAGAATTTCTATGAAGTTACATTTGTTAGGCATAGAAAAAGGGTTTTTTTAGGTGGGGGTGGGGGAGGGGGGGTTCTTTAAGCTTGGCTCAAAATTTTTGAATGATCCTTCTTCCTCTTCCTATCATCCTTGTTGACAAATATCCTATCACTATCTTACCATCCCTTGTGCCCATTCCCATAAAAAAATCTGCAGAAGTATGCTCATAGAGATACCTTAAGGCACCTAATTACAAATGACTAATAAAGTAAAAGATTAGACTAGACAACAAAAAACGCATCTTTTTTTTATGATAATCGTGTCATTCATTTCAAGATGATATACTATGGTGTATATGAGTTCAATTCAATATGATATCCCAAGGTGCATGATGCATGATGCTTGCTGACGATATCGTGTTGATTGATGAGACGAAAGAAGGTGTGGAAAGTAAGGTGGAATTGTGGAGACAAACTTTGGAGTCCTGTGGAAAGTAAGTTGGAATTGTGGACATAGACTTTGAAGGTGAGTAGAAGTATGACAGTGTTTGGAATGTACGTTCAGCGGCGTGAGAAACAGTGAGGTAGGGGTGATCACCTTCGATGGGAAGATTGTCCAAGGTTATAAGGTCTTCCGATATATGGGATCTATTATTCAAAAGGATAGAGAATTGGATGGAGATGTAGCTCATAGGATCAAAGCTGGTTGGTTGAAGTGGAAGAGTGCGATGGGGTTTTTATGTGATTTCGGCATGCCCCATAGATTAAAGGGTATATTCAACCGAATGGTAATAAGACCTGCTTTGTTATATGGTACAGAATGTTGGGCGGTAAAGCATTGTCACGTGCATAAGATGAATGTGGCTGAGATGCGTATGTTGCGATGGATGTGTGGTCATACAAGAAAGGATTGGTTGAGGAATGAGATAATTAGGAAGAAAGTAAGGGTTACATCAATTGTGTACAAGATGAGGGAGAATCGCTTAAGGTTGTTTGGCCATTTAGGAAAGAAACCAAGTGAGGCTCCGATAGGGAGACTTAAAGAGTTGCAACGTGTTGGGGTATGAGTGGTTTGGAGATTGAAGAATTTATGATGTTGGATAGGGCGGTGTGGAGGGAGAAAATTCACGTCAACGACGTTGAATTATTGTATTTATACTTTTGCTTAATTCGTCTTAGTATTTAATTTTATTATTTTACCCAATTCATGTTTTATGAACTGTATTGATTTCCTTTGCTAAAGTTTTTCTCCAACTTTTATGTTTTTTACCCATGCATTTTTACCATTGCTTTAAAACTTTCTTGAATTTCATTCTTGGTTATCCTTCAAAGCTCACTCAATTTTTACTTGGATGCTCATTCTTTTTCTCACTTTATACACCTATTATCAAACTCTTTCAACTGGTCATCTTGCTATGTCCCCTTTTCTATATCTTACGGTTCTTTATGATGATTAATGTAAGCCGATCCCAATTTGAGACTAAGGCTTTCATTTAAAAGAAAAGAACAATTTAAAGAGAATGGGTGGCTTTTGAGAAATGTGAATATCAGGGTTTTTTTTTTTTTTTTTTTTTTTTTTTTTTTTTTTTTGCTTTGAGAAGTAGAAAATGAGAAAGTCAAGGGAGTATTAAGGGTAATTAGAGAGGTATGTAATCAATGGTGTTTGAAGGAATTGCTCTTAATATGGAGTTTTAGCATTTGGTCTTCATCGCAATGTTAAGACGCATGTTGTGGCATCTCTTATAGGAATGAAGGAATAGGATCATTCTCAAAGTATTGCGTCTTTCCATATTTTTGTGGATGCTCAATAGAAAGCCACAAAATAGCAATGTAATGACATCAATAATTACATGTATATATTTTTTTTTTCATGATTTTGAGTAGATAAGCTTAGTCTCATGACAATCATGCTAGACAAATTAAAAGGTCATTGTTATGCTATAACCTAGTAAGTTACAACTTTCTTCTAAGAACCCATGCCTCATTGTCACTAAGGATTCTATTTTCACTCTTCTTATTGATGCTTATCCTCATTATGTAGTTTAAATCAATTCGTATTATGTAGTTTAAACCAATATTTTTATGGTAAAGACTAAGCCTTGGAGATTTCTCATCCTCATTATGTAGTTTAACCATTTTTTTTAATTATTATTATCGTATTGTATAAACTTAATTGATTTCCTTTGGTAAAATTTTCTCAAATCATTATGTTTATCTTTTCACTCTTCTTATTGATGCTCATAGAAGAGTGGTGGAGAGGGATTATGGTAAAGAGTAAAGTTTGGAGAGATCTCGTCCTCATTATGTAGTTTAAACCAATATATTTTTTATTTTTATTTTGTGTTGCATAAACTTTAGTGATTTCCTTTGGTAAGGTTTTTTCAAATCATTATGTTTTTTACTCACACGTTTTTACCACTCCTTTAAAACTTTCTTAAATTTTATTCTTGGTACTCTTTTAAAACTCTCTTAAATTTTACTTGCATGCTCTTTCTTTTTCTCACTTTATAAACCTTTTTTCTAACTTACTCAACTGGTTATTTTGTTATGTCCTTTCTTCTTTGTCGAATGGTTCCTTATGACAATTCATGTTAGCCGACCTCAAATTATTTTGGGACTAAGACTTTGTTGTTGTTGTTGTAGTATGTTTTGTTAAAATGTTCTCACCCTAGTCAAGGCTTATGAGAAACATCTATTGAAGATAATAGACCATATTAATCTAGTAGTGAATTCACCATTAACAAGCATTATTATTCTTTTTTTGCAGTTTTGATGCCTTTCTATTTTACCAAGTTTAGTTGCCTGTCTTTATCTTGTTTAATATTCCTACTAATGACAAAACTGAGTTATGTTTTGAGGTCTCGTGATTGAAAGATTTCTAAAGGTGGTGGGGGTGATGATATTCATCTTTGAAAGAGAACATAGATCAACTTAATATCTCTTTTTTGTTTTTTCTTAAGTCTATTTACCTGAACATGGTGAAGAGGGTGGGCGAAGGTTATGACATAATTTTAAATTGTTAGGTGTTCTATATAATCTGTTGATCATCTCAACTGAGAAGGCTTGTAAACCATAGTAATGTTTGGTTGTTTTGTTTGGTTCAAGTGATGTTGCTTATGTTCAGTTCTCAATATCTCTCATTTGTTGGAATTCTGCTCTGTGGGATGAAATTCATTTGGCTCATTTCTGGTGTTGTCTAGATAGGAAAATTGACTTTCTTAGAAACTTATCTTTTCGTAAAGTCACAATTTTTTTTTTTCATCTATAATCAATAATGTTTGTAATGTGCTGCGTATCTGAGATACTATTTTTTTCGGTTTCTACCGAATGATGTTGTGTAGAATATATTTATTTTTCTTTGAGTATCTTTTGATTAATTATTAGGGATATAAGTTTTTATTTATCTTTTATTTTGTTAGTGATTTAGTTTAGGGAATAATTATCTTAGAATATTCCAGAATTTATATTGCCTATATAAAGGGGCATAGGGATGTAATTTTATGTGTGTTTTAGATTAATAAACTTTAAATTTTGGTGATAAAACTTATTAGAATAGGTGAGATGCTTATTCGCCCAACCTAGCATTTCTAGTTTGGTTTATTATTTGAAGATTTTGTGAAGTCTGTTTGACGTAGCAAAATCATATCGGAATGTTTATCAAAAAATGTTGTGATTCAAATTGAAAAATCAGTTCTTCCAAGCATCAGTCTTATAGGGTTAACAATAGATGTATATTTGACGGATTGACTTGCTTTTAGTTCATTTGATGTAGATATAAATCAAGGTTTTTCAATCTGCTTGTGCAAGCTCAACTCAACATGTCCAAACCTCTAGTCAAGCTTGAGTTGAACTGGGCAATTGGGCTTGATGCTTGTATGCTAATCAAATTTTTGATAAAGTTCAATTTTGTCTCTCCAAATTTCGAAGCTGTTTTGTATTATTATTGGCCATTCACTGAGAGCATAGAAGAGTTTGTTCTTCTGATATCACTCCTGTGTTTTTTCCCCATGGATAGGATCATAGGAGTTTGAGCTTGTCGATAATTTGAATTTACTTCTATTTCTTTTAGAATCCTGCTGCAGCTATCCTGAGCGTCACTCTCTTTTGCCTTATTGGCATTTCCTTGGCCTTCCTTTCAGAATTGAACTTACACTTGCATTGCTTTGGAAAATCTCTAGACTTGGCCATGTCTTTGTTGTAGGCCAGGTCATTCCAGAAAACTTTGCTGTTCTTCATTCTGAAGTTTGTGGTGAAAAGTAAGGTAAAATACTGCGTTAGCATGCTAAATTTACTCATATAAATAAATTAAATTTTGCTTCAGGGTTGATTTTGGTGGGAAGAGGTCAGGCTTACTTGTTGGCTTATTCTTACAATGCTCCTTTACTGTCATCTGTTTGGAAATTTCAACACAGTTGGAAAGCTATATAATTTGTTTTATGACACTAACAGCTTGTTTGGATACTTGGATTGGGACTTGGAAGGGAAAGGGAGAGAAGAATTTTTCAATGTTTGGATAGCATAGAGTGGAGAGGGGAATGGAGGGGAGGGAATTGGAGAGAATTTTTACCTTCATTCTTGAAGAAACTAATCTCTCCTAAATAAGAAAGAATTGGCAGTAAAATGGGACACAAAGCTATGTAAAAAGGATTCAACAATTTTACCCTTGTTGTAAAACTCTCTTCTTCACCCTTGTTGTAAAGCATAATAGCAAGACCTCCACTTTGGATGATCCAATTTTCTCTCTATTCCTCTTCTCCTCTCTCATCCCTGTAGATCATAAATAACAATTGAAAAGCCATTACTGTCATTACAAGGGTTACAATGATAGACTTTGAAAACAAATAAATACACATTATCAGGAGAGAGTGACATTTTCTAGAATGTTACGAACTGGTCGATGGTGTGCAACGAGTCAAAATGCTCAGCCACGGTAGGAAGGAGAGATAGTGGAGCTGCAATTTCAGATGGATGAAGACAAAGGCTGGCATGGGTAGGTAGGATCTTTTTAAAAGCTTTTGCTGTGAGGGTGTGTACATATAAAAAGGGGAAGAAGGGTAAGGCTTAGGTAGCTTTTGTGCAGTGAATGAATTGTGATAGTAGTGACCTAAAGTTACCTTGTGGAGGTAGGTAGCCTCAAGCCAGTTTGTAAGAAACTTCCTTGTTCATCAATCAAAAAGCCTCCTGCATTCCCTCAATCTGATTTTCATATTTAACTACTTTTGCTTATTGTGATTATTGGTAGTAAAATCGTTACATGGTGATTCAATGGAACTGAGACAACTTAGTAGCTGATTAATGTTGGATAGGACTTCACCCTATACTAGGGACAAACTAGGATGAAGTTCCCTCATAATCTCAAATTTTCATATTAATACCCTTCTCTTCCAAGATCAGAACAACTCGTCCCTTATCTTCTTAGCTATCCAAACAGGGGAATTCAGGCTGCAAGTATATTTTTGCTTGTAGCTAGGATCTCAAATTGGACAAGTTTGCATTTTCCGGAATTTTTGCTTGTTCTGGATTTTTCTTCCTATGGCAGCATCCCAATGTGAAACCTAAACCTTGTGCTTAGGCTTGTTTTCAAGTTAAAGAAGAATATGAATGAATTTGATGAAAAAAAAGTGCATCAGCACTGCTTCTTTTCCAGACTCGATAGGATAGGCTGATAATTGGGGAACAACCTAGTTGCGAAAGATAGATTGTTGATTAGCCTAGAAGTTAGTCAATCAAAAGAAGCTGCACAAGAGCAGGTCAATCATCAAAGAACCTCATCTGTAGACAATAGGGGCTGGGGAGGGGCTCGCTTTAGCTTAGGAGCTCAATTCGGATTTGGAGAAAGAACCCATCCCTAAGCAGAATCCTCCATAGTTAGCCAAGATACAGTTTGGGAAGATGTTGATCATAGGCATTCCTGGCTGGAGTTAGGTAAGAGAGAAGCAGACTTAGCAGAGAACATCCAATAAAAAGATATGACTAGTGGAAATAAGAGAATGGATTGTGTGAATCAGATCAAGGGAGCCAAGGAAGATGATCAATAGAATTTGGAGACCCTGCAATCCTTTTGCTGTATCCCCTTCCCTCGTGTTCTTTGTTATCCAAATAGGAGATTCCTCCCTCCCCTTCCCCCTACCTTTTCTCCCTTTCCATCCTCAAATCTTATCCAAACAAGTATGGCTTGCTTTCATTGTTCATTGTTTCAAATTAATGAACAGTTACTATTTAAAAAAATATGAATATAGATCTAATGGGGCAGGTGTGCAATTGTTAAAGTGCAGAATGGAAGTGGGATTTGTATGTGTAAGAGAGTGAACAATATTCCAGTCAAATGTTATGCTTAAATGATTGAACTATTTGTATTCTCCCTTATCCATTGATGGCTTGTTTATGGAGATTTGCAGAAAGTAGCTACCTTGTTTTTTCTGTTCATCGATTATCATGGTCCAATTGTGATTAGAAAAAAATTTCTTGTTCCCAGTCCCTTCTTTTCTTAGTTATTAGGAGTAGAAAGGAAATGGAGATTAATTTTAACATTCGTGGAAATTCCCTCCATCCATCATGAAACAGAGTTTAATGTGAATCATCTTTTTAGTAACCTTGTTTCATCTTCGGGTGGGAGAGGTTGTCAGTTATTATCACATCTTTGGTAAATTGACGATTTAGTCAATCCAGCCTTGTTTTGGAGGTTTTTTACCCTTTTTTTTTTTTCCTTGTAAGCTATCAATTTATCATGTGCATCTGATTTGCACTTACTAGTGACTTAGTTTTGAATGTAATTTATCTGTATATGCATTCAAAATTTGCAGGTTACAGTTTTTTTGGCGATTGATTATATAAATCAACCTGCATCTATCTATCTATCATGTTTATCTGATTTTAGACATCATTGTTTTACTTTGTTTTGAGTGTAAGATATCTGTATACGCATTTAGAACTTGCACGTTATGGGCTTTTTTTTTTTTTTTTTTTTTTTTAATTATTATTATTATGGTTATACAAATGTAAGATTATGGACCTCTAGAAAGATTGAAAATCATGGTTTTTTAATATATTATACTTGAATTTGTCTGAAAAAAAATTATTAGCAATTAGTATCAGGTAAAACAGATCCCTCTTTTCAGTTTATTTCCGTCTGTGTATGTGCAATTAGAAGAAAAGCTATTCAAGCTGGATACATACTAAATTTTATTCAAATTTGCACTTTGCCAACAGATGTAACTTATATCCCTGAGAATGCGCTGAAGATCAACGCAACTTCTAGCATAGCTACTGGAATCATTTAAGCCAGTCTGCTCACTCGCATTCTTTGTAATTGTATGATCTCTCTAGTGAAGAACTTGAAATCAAGAGAGTGTGTCCCTCCAGTTGTACATCACCGGCTTTTTATTTCTGTCATGTAAGACTGTATATTTGAGGTGCTGGTGTTCCTCAAGTAGACACTATATTAATGTCTCTAAGTTTGTTTCTGAGGCGATCATCAGCATGATGGAGATTGGGCATCTGTTAATCCCTCTGCTATAGATTTTGCTGCTTTATGTAGATACTTTGTAAAATATCGAGTCCTGATTTGTTTCTTAAAAATGCAGATGTTACTGGAATGGTGAGTTTTCTGAGACATTCTAAATTTTTTGTGCGGCAATTACTGTACTTCCTGCTCTTCTCTCTCGCTTTCTTGTCACTAAATTTTCAAGAGACTGGCACATTGTATCAACGATGCAATTCGCGGCTTCCTTGTTAGAACAACTTGATAAATTGATGCTGTTTATTTCACTCTCTAACTACATCACTCATTTTTCTAAAAACTCAGTTTCGCCCTCCCTTATTAGAAATTTAGAACAACGTTGTTTTGGAAGTTACTAAAAACGGGCATTACGTTGATAAGGGGGCATGTGTTTACACTAGTGTATAATTGGAAAAAAATACAGTATTAATAATCAAATTAAGTGTACATCCATTTTTTTTTATTTTTTTATTTTATAGGTAGGAGTTGAGAAAGTACTTTGAGAGATTCCAAAGTGTAAGAGAATATTCCTTTGCCTATTTTATACTGTAGTAGGACCTTATCCAAAATTATAACTTGGTTGTTCAGAAAAAAATCCTCTGGCTTGTAGGTCTTGTAATTTTGTCCACATTGATAGGGAATAGAGATATCAATTAAAGAAGTGAGATCCTTAGAAAGGCTATTTTTTGGGGCAATTATTATCATAAAATCGGTCGTATGGTACAACTAGTTTTCATATTATCATAAAATCAGTGTAGTGGCGATTGAGGCTAAATTTGGTAGGGAGGATCATTTATTTGATCCTCTGTAACAACAATTGAAAGGGGACTGAAACCTAACTATCCACAATTAACCTCATTCTGAATTACCCCAAAGGGTGAATCGGGTGGAACAAAAAAAAAAAACAAAACATCATATGCACATATTTAGTACTTTCTTTTTAGGAAATGAGTAAATATATCATCAGCTCATTTGCACAAAATAATTTTGTTTTGCTCATTTTTCTTGAAATAGGTAATTAATTGTTTGTTCATTGTATGAAATGAGATTTCAATTAATTTTTGAACATACCAAGACTCATTTTCTCTATGCTCTTTTATTCTCTAAGCTTATACTATGGTAATATGTATTTTCTGTCTAAATTCAGAGATTCATTTTATCTCTCTAATCATACAACTCTCTTATTTCAACCTTTAAATACATAAGACTCATTTTCTTTCCCTTTTAGACTTCATGCACAGTACCATTTTTTGCATAATAAATTTATTTCATTTTAGGTTTGAATTTTGATTTATTTATATGCACTTCTTTCTCCTTTATTCCTTTTTCTTCTTTTCATTTGTTAATAACCTTGAATATGTTGAGATTCAATAGCCAAATGAACAATATGAATTATAAATTTCGAAATTTTTTTTCTTCACTTTTTATTGAAAATCATGCTTAAGGAAATAAGGTTGTATTTTTATTTTTTGGCTAATTTGTTAAAGATGAGCACATTTTTTTTTTTTTGAAATGGAAACCAATAATCCCACCTTTACCTTTTCTGCTCACAACAATCGCACTTTTTCGAAATGTGAAAACAATCCCACCTTGTATCCCTATATTAAAACAAGCCTTTTTTATTAAATGATCGGTTAACACAATTTTCCTTTATTTTCAACAGGTAATCCTTCAAAATTACCGTTGAGTGCCATTAATTCCCATTAACTCCCCCTGCTCTACATCTCTCTCTCTCTCTCTCTCTCTCTCTCTCTATCTCTCTCTCTCTCTGCAATTTTCTTTAAACTCCCACCCCCCCATTTATATTTTCCTCATCCCTTTCCAAATCTTCTTCTGGAAGTTTCACCATTATTGTTGCTATCTTCTGCAATGGCAAGTCATCAGTCACTTGGCTCAACTTCAAGCTCCAACAGGCTCCTTCTGCGGGCACCCAGTTCATTGCTACCACAATGAAGTTGCTCCGTTGAGGACGGTGAAGTACGATGGTCCGACAAAGGGAAGCACTTTTACGGGTGTTCTTATTGGCTGGTATAATCCCTCCAATGAATTCGTTGTTTAATATATTTTTATTTGGGAATTAATTGAATGAATTTGTAAGAACAGAGAACATGCGGTTTCTTCAAATGGCTTAATGAGGTAGGTGATGTTCGTGACCTGCAAACTTTCATCATTGACAGGGATTCAATTATTCTTGAATTGGAGGACAAAATTGAGATGCTGAAGGAGAAGATCAGAAAGTTAAAGGCAAAAAAAGAGAAATTGGTTTCGAAGTTGAAGAAATGGGGATCGCAACAACTGAAACACTATTTGAGATGAAGGAGAACAATACTGATAAGAAGTTAATACTGACTTTGGTCTTCTCTTAGGCCTTTTTCACTATAATCTTGTTGATGAAGTGAAGTATGTAGTACTGTGTAGGCTAGGATGTTAATGCTTTTTTTTTGGATATATTCTAGGTTGGTGGGTAATGTTGTGGGGTGTAGCTCTTTTTTTATGGCAAATATTAGTAGATGATGATGATGCTGGTTGTTGATGTTATGTACTTAATATCGCTACTACATTTTCGATCAAATGCAACGCCAAAAAATGAGCTAATGCAACGCCCTATTCAATGTCGTCGCAATAGATAACCTGATGCAACTGCAGGATTAACTAATACAACAGTCAATTATATATTATACCTAATGCAATGGTCCCTTATATGCCGTTGCATTAGATTGGGCTAATACAACGGCAACAAGAGCTAACACAACGACTGCTAAAATTTCAGTATTATATTCTTTCCCTCCGTATTTTATACCCAAAATTTTGAAATTCAAAATTAAAGACCCCAAATATTTAAATCCCCGCCATTTTCGAGTCCCAGTTTTCTTACCCTCTTACTCTCATGAATTTAACCCCCCTTCACTTGCAATTTTTGTGACAGAGGATGAGATCGAGCGGGGGATTATTACTGCATTCTTGGATGCATTTGAATCAGACTCGTTCTGGCCCTGTTCTTTGTACAATTCCGGCAAAGGGCGAGACATTATGAGTCCCAAAATATGGAAAGCGCTCGGTTTAGTGGTCAGATCTATGGCTTCTAAGTCTTCCTTTGTCGTTTTCGATGAGGGTGAAGTTAAGGGCTTTGTTTCTGAGTGTGAAACACCACCCACGGTGGTGTTAGGGTTAGGGTTCCACTACCGAACCACTCCAAAACCCACCTCCGTTGACGAATTAGGGTTTCAACGAAGATAATTGGGCGCAAATGAGGAATTAGGGTTTGGTTTTGGGTCTGGGTCATCACTTCCTGTCTTGAACAAGCCTAGATTTGTGGCCAAACCCCCTCCAGTCCGTAGGGTTTCTTATATGTCTCAATTTCGAAGGATTCGAGGTCCTCCTAACAAAATCACTTACGATGATGATGATGTGAACGTGGAGTCCCCCCCTCTGAGCTCGTTAAACGGGCTTAATTTTTCCGTTGGTAACTGTTTCTATGAAACCCTAACTTAGTTCATTTTATGTCAATTTTTTTTTTAGAATCCTGTTTAGGTGGTGGAAGAATTAATCATGCTTGTATACCAGTAACCTAGGTTATTGGCGGGATGGATAATTGTTGGTGAAATGTGTGTGGTTGTTGTTGTTGAAACAACATGTGTGTTATGCTGTTTAGGCTATAGTGTGGTTAGTTGTTGTTGTTGTTAATCCAACATGTTGTGGTTGTTGATACGTGTGGTTAGTTGTTGTTGTTGTTTATCTATTGTTATTGTGTATGGTAGGTCGGGTTAGGATTTAATTGGGTTGAGGTGTTTTTTAAGGCAGTATATGGTCGGTTAGGGTCATTTTATGGTGATTGTTAAGCTATTGTCGCTGTGATGTTTTGTATATTGTTCTGTTATTGACGCTGCCTCTATAGTGGCTGTTGCCCTACTGTTAGTTATTGTTGTCTTTCCCCCTCCCCTGCCTGCTGCCCTAATGTCTTCCCCCTTAGCTTGTTGGTTATTGCCCATGGTTTCCTTTGAAATCACCTCTAATGCATTGGCAGAGATAAAGACATGTACTAGCAACTTTTCTATAAGTCAATTATTCGAAAAAGGACCTATTGAATGTGTTTATAAAGCCAATGATCTAGATGGCAAGGTATCAGTAACTGAATACTAACTCATTATAAATATGCCTCATAGAGTTCAACATGAGTTTAATGCTCATTAATCTGATAGACATACATCCTACTAACATTTTATTTAATATCCTCAAAATGTTGGTCCATTGCTGATGATATGTTGAGTTCTTGTATCATACCAGGTGTCAAGCTTTCTTTTGGGTGCTGTTGTTGAAGTTTGGACAATATTCTTTTACCAATTTTCTTCAGGTGTTAGTGACATCAGCATTATATGATTATGAGTACTAAAGGAACTATGTTGGCACATAATGCTAATGGCTGTATAAGCTATGTAATAACGTTTAGATAGGAGTTAATGCATTACCCTATATAAGTGTGACTTTGCACCTACACGAACTAAACTTATAAACATCATTTTCTCCTATAACCCTCTTAATGTATAGTTTTTGCTCCAAATCTAGCAGCCATTCTTACACATTCAGACCTTTCTTTCCAAAGTAATTGATATTCCTCATCCTACATAGTTTATTATATATAGATTCTTAATTGACGTGTTATTAACTTTTCTTATTGTACTCATCTCAAAGTCGTAAATGCTTTTATTGCTACTCTATATGTGTGTGCAGGCTGCCGGTGTTTAATAGGCTTGTGCATATGTTTTCATGAAGACTAAATACCATATATAAAATTGGAAACACCTAAATTTCCAAAACATAACTAGTTTGCCAGATTTGAACACTAATAATGTATTTTCACTTGCTAAAACTAGATAATTCAACTAATGATAAATAATACTAGCTAGTCATGTTAAATTTATAGTTAATAATACATTTATCTTACATGAAAAGTACTAATTCAGTTTACGGCCCTTGACCTGCAAGTGAAAATATTGTGTGAGACTAATCATAATTAGTTTATATTATTTATACTCTATGTAAGTTTAGTCTGTACTAAGTATAGTATGTTAAGGCTCACATTTGGTTAGATACACAACTCTTTTTTTTTTCTTTTTTCTTTTTTTATCATCTTAAATAAGGAACCAAC